TAATAATAATAATAATAATAATAATAATAATAATAATAAAATAATAATAATAATAATAATAATAATAATAATAATAATAATAATAATAATAATAATAATAATAATAATAATAATAATAATAATAATAATAATAATAATAATAATAATAATAATAATAATAATAATAATATAAATATCCGAACGATATTTAGGATGCTGCATCAAACATAAAGTTTTACTCTGTACAATCTTAGATTTGTGATGATAAATTTAAATTTTAAGAATTAAATTTGTGATAGAAAACGATGGATTATACAAAAGTTGTAATCTTCGATACATTTGTACAATTTATTCACTATATTTTTATATATTGAACATATAATATGTTTGCCCACCTGTCTAACAGTTCCAGTTGCACAAATAAGTTAATATAAAGTACGGAGTATTTATTTTAGATTTATTAAATGGACAAAAAAAAAGAAAACACCGGAAAAGAAAAACGAAATGAAACCTGTTGGTCGGCAGCCAAACGATCCAGTTCTTTACGGGTAACTGTAACCCTCGTAAATTTACCTTCCGTTACGGTAAGTTTTTCACTCATCGCCTGAAGCCATTTTCGAAGTTCCGATACTGCTGTTGGTTCACCTTCTTCTGAAATTAAAGAACAATAAAATTTGGTAAAGGTGTTTCGTATGCTTGATCGATTGGCCCTTCAAGTCAAATTGCTCTCTCATATATTCCGCTTTTTCTCCAGATCAATGATAACCTAAAATCAAGGTTTCCTCCCTTATTGGACATCATAAAGACTGGTTTTGTTTGGCAAATGATCAGTGACATATCAGAGGGGACATGTGTCAAGTGTTAAAAAAATAAAAAACTACAGTGGTTGGTTGTTTAGAAATAGAAGTTGAATCACGACATATTAACCACACCTTTAGCAGCATTTTCTACGGAAGATCGCCGATTCAATTTTAGTTGTGCCATTGCACGGTTGATCGTACTTAATCTGAAAAAAAAATTTTTTTTCAAATATTTTCAATATTTTCAAAATTTATTTCAAATATTTTCATTTTATTTCAAAAAAATTTCTTGCTTTTTTTCAATATTTTCATTTATGATTTTAAAACTAAATCTATTTTTTGATTTGATGACTAAAGCCAAATATTGACTTAATTAATTAAATTGTCTCATTTGAATAAACTGCCTGAAATAACATAGAGTATAGGGGAATTCCTAAGAGGAAACAAAGGATGGATCATTAGTTTGCCATAGGTGTAAAGCTAATAGGCATAAATTTTCAAAATTTCAAAAGACTCCTTTTTTTTCACATTTGACTCTTTTGATATAGCCGATATTTTGGATGATTAGAAATACTCATTTAAATATTCGCAAATTTTGATTTTCTAAATTATAATAAAATCTTGTATTATCACATAGTATTTCCATGGTTTTCTTAATTTTCAATAGTTAACAAAAATCTTTGCTACTAATGTAAAAAAAATCACGCCTAAGAGCTGAGAGTTGATTTTATTCCACCGATCCAAGGTTTAAAAAATATTAACAAATGTAAGAAAGGTCAAGTTACTTTAGTTGAATAGGTAAATGATTAGTTGAACAGGTAAATCATCACAGTCGGTTGTAGTATTATTCAGGTCTAAGTGTTTGCTTAAAGCAAACAGAGGGAATTATAAAATTATAAGTACCACTGGTTGCGGATGGTAAACTTGCGGAATATGAAAAGTTAAAAAATACAGATTGCAAAACAATCAGGAGCGGAATTGAGGAAATATGGTGGCTAATGAAACTAAACTATAAATTAGTTTTAACTTATGAAAACGGTCCATGAATATCGTATTTTTGGCAGACAGGTAAATATTGGAATTGTTCTATCACATGAACAATTCTAATATGTCAAGTTGAAATAAAACGTTTGTGACCAATGGTGACACAAATTAAACTTTAGCATTTAAATTGTTAAGTGTAAGATCATATATGCGGTATACCGGTGATACACGGAGCTAGTAATGGACATTTCACTTAAGATACTCCAGAGAAAAAGTCTAATAGGAGATTTAAAATCTACCAAAGGTATAATTTACTGGAAATATTACATCCGGAAAATTTTTCCGCTATTTATTTTCAAAGCAAATTTTCCTTTATCCTTCCTCTTCTTTTTCCTACACATTTATTCCTGACAAATTAACGGAATGATTAAACGGATTGAATTTGTTCCAGAATGTCAATAACTAAATCTTAATAAATTTCAACAAATTTCATTATTATCAAAAAATCTGATAAAAATGTCTGATAAAAACGGGAAAAACAATAGCAAGCAGTAGATGGAGAAGCAAGAGTTCCGGAAATGAAAAGCAAAGAAATTTTGTTCTCTTGAGAAAGATAAACGGATCGATCAATCCATTTTCAAGTTCCACAAATAATATGCAAGTCTGGAAACCGTTAAGAATGGTATTTGAGTACAACAAACTTTCAGTTTCCGGTATCAGTACTTCATATAATGGTATTATAATAGGATTTCTCAAGCCATACGTCGTAATTTGAAACCACGAGTTGAAACTTTCGTGTTAAATGAATAGCGGCTACAACAGTTGCTGTCCGGTATCCTTTCAAGCAAATAAGTAATACTACTTGTTCGATTAGTCTCTCTTCTAATCCTGAACCATCATTCCGGTCCGGTACTTCCATATTTTACAAGGGAAAAGAAAGAGGATATTTCTTGGTACTTATAGACACCGATATTTGATCAATCCAATTGTGAACTTTAACCCGAATAAACAACAAATTAAAATTTTGGAATAAAAAAAAAAAAGAAAGTTTCAAAATGTTCGGTCGATTTCAATGCGTTTACTCCAATATATTTAAAATATTTATGATATCTGTTCAAAAATTCTTCCATTAAATTCACTAGAAATAATATTTAAAATCGAAATTTTAATTATTATTGTTACCTAAAACTTCGAATTTCAAAAAATTTATTTCAAAAATTTCAATTTCTATATTAAAGAAAAAAAAAGTAACCAGTTTTACTCACTTTGAAGTAATCAAATTCGACAATTGTGGAAGAGCATCTGATAGTTCGATGCCCTGCTCGATGATTTCCATTCGGCGACGTAGAATGTCACTTTCGTTGATTACCTGTAAAAGTGCAATAAATTATTCGTTTAGTTACATTTTCAAACTTCAATTTCATAATCAAAAACTTTCGTGAATGCGTATATTTGGTGACAAACGACAATAGAATAACTTATATTTTAATTATGATTATTAAAATATCACTAATTACATTGTTTCATAAATTTAAAATAAAAAATTATGAAAAATAGAAAAGTATAATGAAATGAGAGAAATATAATAATAAAAGATATTAGATAGATTTAATAAATTGAAGAAAAGATTTAAGATATGAAACTGAATTATAGCGATAAATTTGAATAAAGCTTAGGATATATGATATGATAAGATGGAAATAATATATATGAACAGAAAGAGAAAAGAGAATAACGATGAATGCATCAGGAATATTGGAACAGAAATAAAATATTGAAGATTTTAGCAAAGATTTAATTAAACTATCAATTGATTATCTTATCATCAATAAACAAATATATATATATGAAATGAAATTTAATGCTTAAGATAGATTTGATTTTAAATCTAAATAAAAAAGGAACTAATGTTAACATGAAAAATATCGAAAAATTAAATTTCAATTTCAATAGGTACATATATCAACAGTTAATTTAAAAATACTCATTTCATCGTTAATTACATTAAAAGATAAATGCGTCTAATGTGGATTTTATTTAATCCAATTTTTATTAAAATTTTAAAAGATGAAAAGAATAAACAAAATTCATTTAAATTGCAAGGTTCAAAAATATATCATTTCAGTTTATGTAAAGAACAGGAAAGAAGAAACGGTAGAGATGAAAGAATAATTTCAACATGATTGAAAGGAAAAGTTTTAAATTTTTTTTTTTAAATTTTCATCTTTATTTAGCAAATAAATTTTATGAATTGTTCTTTCATATTTAAAATAGAAAAAAAGGAAATTTCCTTCCCCTTTTAAAATTATTTTGAATTATGTCATAAGAGTGGCAAATTTTTTACATTAAATGATTCGTGATTTCAAGTTTTTCCTTTTTTTTTTTGAAAAAATTACTCTCAAATATGGCTTAATATTTAATATATCTAATTTTTTCGCTTTTTCTAAACCCGAGATATTCCGAACTACTACTGATCATCTTGGGAGTATTTTATTTTATTTTTTTTTTTTTTTGGTGTTACTATTATCTAGTATAATTTTAGAATTAATTTTGTTTTCATTGTAAAAAGGAAAATTTGTTGTCATTTTTGACTTGCCAGTTATGCTGAACATTGGATAATGAAAAGACGAAAAAACTGGTTATTTTTTTGATTATTCTGAAACTGGATAATTTACGGGAATCAAATGACCTAAGGTTAAAGTTCAAATAAGTATGTACTTTTAGATTTCTTTTTTCGTTTTTTTAATTTGATCCGTTAACGAAATAGGATGTTTTAAATTACATGTAACAAATAGTTGCAACAAAAAAAGAAAAGATAGAAAACAAAAATTGTTTTGGATAATTTAAGCATTGCTTACGTTAGTAAGCTACTTGATGCTATCGACTAATTAATTAATCATTTACTATTCAAACAATCCAACAAATGTGACTTGATAAAATGAATCAATATTGATGTTCTGGATCATCTAAATGATCGAATACAAATGACCTAGGTAACTTAGTCAACTATTTAAAAAGTCATCAATTTAGCTAATTGAGAATCCAATATGTAAATTATTTGTTGGTTGAACATTGCACATCATAAACAAAACCCTAAAAGGTACTCAGATGGAAATAACCATTTCAGACAAATATTCGCACTTCCGGCGTCAACAAATGAATGAATAATTGATGGAAGGAGTAAAAGACAAACCTATCGAACAATAAAATCATTTTATTTACTTTTCCTTTATGCATTTTTGTTGTACTAATAAGTAAGTAGCATTTAGTAAGTTAACTAAATTGATGTCTTTGACAATTTTGTCACTTGTTTGTTAAAGGAATTTTAACAGAAAGGTGATCAATTTCACGTTTTCAGCCATCCCTCGATCTTTTTCATAGTTAATCCAGAAAATAAAATCAGAACTTAAAAATGACACGTCCAGAAATCAAAATCAGAATTTGCAAGTGGCATGTTCAGGTATTAAAATTAAAACTTAAAAATGATATATCCTGGAATTAAAACCAGAATTTGAAGGTGGCATTACTGAAATATCAAAGTTGCACTATGATAATAAGTTACATATCTTTTTTATTTGCTTAATTAAGAAATGAAAAAAAAAAGCATTTTGTTATTTTGATTAAAATTGTGAGCAAAAAAAGAAAATACTTTTGTTGAATGATAGCCTAATCATTTGTTCATTATTTATTCAGTGATGGCTTTTCAAAATTATCTTGTGCTTTAACTGATAAATGTTTTGCAAGTGTTTGTAAAATTTAATTTATCATTCGATAAGATTAAATGGCTAGAATAAATCGCAACAAAAAAAAAAAAGAGGCAAATTTTGTTTTTAAATTAAAATTTATAAGAGCTAAGCAATGGTACGATTTTAGACGAGAGAAATGTAATAATGAGAATGTTTAAAGTTAAAATTAAATTTTGCAAACACTTGCAAACATTTACTAGTTAAAGTGCAAGATAATTTTGAAAAGCTACCACTGAATAAATAATGAACAAACGACTAATTGATGGTTGCTATAGCACCTAACAAACTCTTGCTACTGATAGTGATAGCAGCAAATTGATAATACTAAATGATATAAATAAATTAATTTTATCGAATTAAGTTCAAGAAAAAAAATTAAAACAGATAAATCAAAAAAGTAGGATGAGTTGAAATAGTAAGCAATTGATAATTGATAAAATGATAAATTACAATTTATGAAAGGTGTAAATTACCATTGATTTTTCTTTTACAAAATTATGAAATCTAATTAAAATGTCACAATTTCAAATTATGCCAAATTCACAGCATGAATAATCTCAAAAGTTCATTTTTCATATTTAAAAAAATAAATTTGTATTTGTGACAGGTAATTTAAGAGAGTATAAGATTAATATGTTTCATAATGCTTACAATGCTACAATTCTGTCACATAGAAGGAAGGTCATTTTGCCAAAACAAGAATGACAATTCCTTGTCTTTTTCATAGAACTTTTTTTTTTCTGCAACGATGATTATAAGAACGAGTTTCTCATAAATTCAAGTAATTGAAATAAATGAAAAATGACAAACCGATTGATGATCGATGATATTCAGGATATCATTATACAATGTACTACATGCCTCACAAAATAGTTCTTGTAATAAAGCGCTGTTGTCGTTGACATTAATAGTACTAGTAGTATCGGTTATATGATCCGATGAATTTGCTTCAGATGATTGCCAATTTTTTTGTAACTGCAAAAAAAAAATTATATCTTTTGTATATCATATTTCAACAACTATTACTACTACTATTACTACCACATATATCAATACATTTCATCATTGTAGTAAACGGTAAATACAGTATGAATGGTATTATTTACAGTAAAGATTCACAGTATTTAAGTAAAAATATTATTTACATTATTTATAAAAGTATTATTTATTTATATTACTTATAAAAGTATTATTTACAGTTATTTCGCTCATATCTCAATCATCCAATTTCAACAAATATAATAATGAATTTGTTGGTAAATAAATAATTCATGTAATAATACTGTTAAATATATTTTATAAATAAATATATTTAATTCTTCACTGTTATTGTTGTTTTTTTAATTTCTTTATTTGAGTAAAATTATGAATTCTTTTTTTTCCATTAATAAAATTGAAATGATAAATAATGAGCAGTTATGAAAAAAAAAAAAAATTAATTGGGAAAAAAATATTTAATATAAGAGATAGTGATGGAAAGAAAATTCAGCTAATTTTTTCGTAAAAATTATTGTGAAAAGATTTATTTTAGTTAATTTTTGAATAATCAAATTTCAAGAGATTAAAATAATATTTGAAATGTATGATGCAAAAAGAAAAAAAAATCACGAATATTTTTTTTTTCCCCCAGAAAATTAATTTATAATGATTTTTAAAAAAATTTTTTGTCATTTATCACGGAACCATTTCATCATGTCATTATATTAACAAAACTATTTCATCATGCCATTACTTTGATGAATGTTCTTCTAACACTTCATAATTTGTCAAAATTTTATTTGTCTCCTTATACTATCTCCAAAAAAAAAATGCTTTAAATATCTATTAAAAAATATTTTGAAACATAATTGTATTTGTTAAGTAATTAAAGATTAAATCACATCTGATTAAACTAAGTTAAGTAATTAAAGCATCCATATGAAGAGATCAATATCAGAAAAGATAAAAGTAAAACTATAAAGTGGAAAATTGTTGAAAAATGATCGGTGATAAAGTATTAGGATTTAAATAATAGACAGATTGGATAGATTAGAATTAAGTCTTTAAGATTCTCGGAAAGTAATTTATTTGATCATACAAGCCTGTTTGGTGATATTTTAATAATAGATAAACTAAAATAGGAAAGAAGCGCAAACAGAACGTACTGAACAAATCAGTAATGAACAAATTGAAATATAAAGGAAGCGCAAAGAGAACATACTGGATATGTCAACTCAATCGTTGACATATAAGTAGGGAAGAATGCAATAAAATGAGAAAATATTATTGTAGAAATTATCAATGACAAATTATTACACTATTAGTTTGCTGTAAGCTTGTATGAAAAAAAAAGGCCAATGAACTAACAATTTACAATTGAAATTATAATAAATTTCGATTAAAATTATTTCCCATCCCAAATTCGATTAGTTCGCAATTTTTATTGCATTCATAAAAATTTTATTGGGAATATTAATATGAATGCTTCAATATGTGCCATTTAAAATGTATTCATAAACTTAATTACTTCATTAAATCCATCTTTAATGATAGTTTTTTAAATAGAAAAAATGCAACAAATTGTATGAGAAAGGAGCAAAAGAAAATGAGATTTTACAAGAGATTAACAGCATAATTCACATAATGTAGTCAATTTTTGAAAAAAAAACCTATTCAAATAAATACATTCTATAATTGAGAATTGCTATGACACCGTATATCTTGTTTCACCGCAACACCGTATATTTTGTTAGGAAAGAAGGTTACAGTAATAATATATCGTATATGTTATTGGGAAGAAGGTTACAGTAATAATATACTGTACATTCTATTGTATGAAAAAGAGAAGAGAAAACAAGATTTAACAAGAGATTATCAGCAAATTTCACATGAGATACTTCTTTTTTTTTAAAAAAACCACTCCAAATAAATCCATTCTACGACTGTGTATTTCTGCAATATCGTATGCCTTCTTAAAAAAAATGCAATAATATACTGTAAATGGAATAATGGACTGTACACTATACTGTAAGGGAATGGGAAAAAGAAGGCAAAACTTGACAGGAAATTATTATGCATAGAATGCTCAATTAATTAATTCTTATAAATCAGTAATCAATGGTGCAATAACTGCTTAATATGCGTGAAAGTTTATGTGAAAATTAATGGTAAATTGAAACAAATTTCCATTTATATATGAAATAACTTGAAATAAACGATAATATACCGTATATTTTGCATAAATTTAATATAATTCCCTTTTACCTCGAATTCATAACGATATTTGAAAACATTTCTCAGCAACATATAATTTATCAATGTTTAATTTTTTATCAATTTGTATAATTCATCAATTTCAGGTTCTCATCTTTCTCATATTATCACGATTAGCGGAAGAATGGGATTTTTTCTTCTTTAAAAATTACATTTTCAAAAGATTCTAATTCATTACTTCTTCGATTACAAATCAATAAATACCCTAATTTCGTCACATTAAAATTTGGACTGCAAATTAAATACTTACTTACTAATCTACCATGTTAATTTCAAACGTTACTGAAATATTGGAGCTATTGGTTAGGATAGGATAGAGAAGAATACATGAATGGTAGTTGATCGAGATAAAAATGTAAGAGGGGAAAGAGTATCAATTGTCACAGTATGATCAAACTAGTTTCTTGATTACTCCAAAAATAAATCAATTTCTTACTCATTACAATTATTAGTTGGTAAATTTCTTAATTAAACATTTATTATCCAAAAAAAAAAAGAAAAAAAAACAACAAATCTTTCCCACAACAATTTTAATGGGAGATCTTTCAAGCTTAGACTATTCTAATACTTAATACCAGTTAATCTCGGATTGTTTTATCAGTGATAACCTTTTTGAATATAAGTTTTCATGCCGTTTTCGCATCATTTTTTAAAAATGAATACATTTGAAGAATGGTATGATTAATTTATCAATCAATACAAATGTGACAATTTTTTATAGCTTATCATTTTCCATTAATTCATGCAAATCATTGAAATATTTTATCCTGGAACCAATTTTGAAACTTCCAAACCTTCTGATATCAGTCATTCCAAATGTTTTTCCTTATGGCATGAATAGAACTGTAACTAACTGTCGTTTCCTAATATTTACAATTAATTGTTTAATTAGAGTTTTCATATCAAAAGAAAATTTCCCAGCATCTATCAACAATTCTAATCACTAACTGAAGGCTTTTTTCATCATCGGCATTTTTTTATCATCTCAAAAGACTGAACTGTCAACGGTGAAAATAGTTTGACAAAAATAATGACAACTTAAATTGACATCGCACAAACTGGAATTTTGTAAGATAAGTCTATCTGTTTTTTTTTTTTGCTTTTTTTTTCAGAAACCAAAATTTCGATAAAAATTTAAAATTTAGAAGATAATAGCAGGAAGTAAATTTCTTTCACATCCAATGATAATAAATCAAATGTCAACAGTGTACGATTACTCCTGAACTACTCGGATATGCCATCTTAAAAAACAGAAAATTCTTTTTAAGAATAATTTCGTAAAATTAGAAAAAATTCATTTTTTTTCCTGACATCACACAATTTAATCACTTTTAACAATAAAATAAATTTTATCTAATTCTCATTGAGATTTTAATAGCTATGCTTGATGATAGTATGACGAAAAAAAAAGGAAAAATTATAACTAAAAATTTGATAAATCACAAATATTCACAAATACATAATGATGATCACATTACGATCATATATATCTACTTCACAAATGCAAATACAGATCCAAAATATACTTTATCGATAAGCGATAATATTTGCTCTTGGCTGATAAGCATTCAAGTTTGTATGGTGTCAAATTATTGCTTTTAAGATGTTTGAGGTGCTAATGTTTGATCAGTAGGTTAACCAGGTACGATACAAATACAGATAAACGAATTAATCACATTAACCGCACACTACAACTAATTGGATTAACTATAGACGGTAAATCATGGATAAGTGTGGAACTTAGACATTACTTTACAACTTTGTATTTTTTTGAGGGTAAAAAGATTGAATGAAAGCAAATATCATAACAGTAAACGTTGTAATGATCCTTTGAGATGCCCAAATTTCTCCATTTCCAAACAGGTAGTTGATGCAAAATTCTGACCAAAAAAAATGCTTAAATTTAAATTTAAAGAATTCTAAATCTAATTTTAAAAAGTCTTAAATTTACACTTACAAAGACAGCAAACATAGACAAACATTTTAATCTCTTCACACTAAAATATAAACTGAATTTACATTATCCGTTATCATATCAGGGAAATACTGTTAAGTTTAATAACAAATATATAAAGCAATGATACTTTGAAACTTTTCAGTAACAAGTTAAGTATCGTGAGTAAACTTTATTGTGGAATATTGAAATTCTGGAAATAATGTTTTGTTTCAGTCATTAAAAAAAAAAGATTGAAAATGCTAAGCAAATTTGGCAATTACTTAAATTCAACAGGAAGAAATTATAACACAAATTGTTGCTATTATCTAGTCATAACATTGCATAACAATAATTAATCATTCATAAGTAAAATGTTCCTCAAGCAAATGTTTAACAATCTTCCGCTCACTGATCTTGTTTATTACTAAAAATTGCAGGTGATTACTAATGATAATTAGTGATAATCTCATTAGTATTGCAACGTTACTGGTTACAATTGCTATTATCACAATATTCCAATAATTGCTATTATATCACTATTACATTATTGTTTATATTATTATTATCATTTTCACCATTATTCGTACAACATAACATTTATTATTATTATTATTATTATTATTATTATTATTATTATTATTATTATTATTATTATTATTATTATTATTATTATTATTATTATTATTATTATTACTTATTACTTATTATTATTATCTATTATATTATT